AAGACACATTAATTATAGATAAGTTATGAACTGGTGAGGCATTTTAGACTTAGCTAAGCAGAGCTCATGTGCACAGAACACAAAAAGGGGTGGAAGAAGCAAGAGGCACCTAATGCTCTTGGTTAGTCTGACACTACCGTGTTTCCGTGGAAATAAGACCTACCCATAAAATAAGCCCTAGCAGGATTTCTAAGTATTTGTGCGATATAAGCCCTGCCCCGAAAATAAGACTTAGTGCTGGGCGTGGCCACGCAGCGCATCTGCACAAGCCAGGCATTTGGTCACGGAGCGGCAAGGAAGACGAGCAGCCCTTCCCATCTGCCCCACGAGAGCTCTGTTGCTCGACATGAGAGGTCGGGGCCAATGGTTCTAAAGGAAATAGAGTCACAGGAAATTCAGGCTGGAATTCGGGATTTGGAGATTTATGATGATGTTCCAGAAGAAGACGACTTAACTATATTTGAATAAATGTAGATTGTTGTACCGTACTTAAAAAAAAATAACACATGCCCTGAGGCGCCGCCTCACTCCGCACGTGGGGTCGCCGCTGCCTCCTCCCAAGCCCCTTGTCCAGACCGTCCTGCAGCCATGGCTCCGCGGCCAGCTCGCCCGTGTGTTAGCGTGTTGACAAAAACCGCCTTGTGGTTTGCGGAACCTAACTCTCTTGGTTTGATCTTGTCCTGCCGGAGCATGCGAAAGCTCTCTAGGGTGGCCGGGGGCTAGCGTCAGAGATGTTTCTGAGGCTGTACGGGATTTCCTGTGAAATTGGGTGAGTGTGAAAACTTGTATCTGCTAGTCCATGCAGGATCCTGCTTAATATTCCCAGAAGATAATGCTGACATGGCCAGACTTGATTTCAGTCTTATCAGAGTTGTTGCTGTAATCTCTACCCTTCGTGAACAGTGCGTTCTCCAGAGGTGGACTTGAGAGCTGTTGGAGCAAATGTTGATATTGGGGAGTGACTATTGAGAGCCGCAGCCAAAACACGCCCGAGTGCATGTGGTATGTGAAACCGGTAGGACTACGCAGCGTGTCACACGATGATGCAGAGTCTGAGAGTAAAGACCTCCCTTGGAGGACCAGACGCCAGTTGCCTTGAGGCATTCTTCATACGGCACCGTATGATCTGCAGCAATCTCAGATTACTTCAGGATAAAGTACGTACAGTAAAGGATATCGCAGGATGCCCTGGGTAATGGAATGAACCCTCATCAACTCCTGCCCAGCCTATCCCATGAGCCAGGCTTCCCATCAAGTTCTAAATGAGCCCTGTTTAATACTTGTGTGTATGCTTTGAATGCCCTGCGCAGCTGGTCGAAGATCAAAGAGGCATTAGGATTCAGCTGCTGCCTCTTTCAACATGTCAGCCCAGCCAGTGCTGCTGTTGGAATCGCCTCAGTGAAGATGAGGCCAAAGTCTGCATGGTCTATGATCTCTATAAATCCCTTACTCCCATATCAACTGCATATGCAAGAGCAAGAGGAGCTGATAGGATGTCTTCATTTGGTGATTTTGTTGCATTATCTGATGTTTGTGATGTACCAACTGCAAAAATCATATCCAGAGAAGTATCTGATGGTATTATTGCCCCAGGATATGAAGAAGAAGCTTTGAAAATACTTTCTAAAAAGAAAAATGGGAACTACTGTGTTCTTCAGATGGACCAGTCTTATAAACCAGATGAAGATGAAGTTCGAACACTCTTTGGTCTCCGTTTAAGCCAGAAGAGAAACAATGGTGTCATCAATAAGTCATTATTTAGCAATGTCGTTACCAAGAACAAAGATTTGCCGGAGTCTGCCCTCAGGGACCTCATCGTGGCCACCATTGCTGTCAAGTGCACTCAGTCGAACTCCGTGTGCTATGCCAAGAACGGGCAGGTTATTGGCATTGGAGCAGGACAGCAGTCTCGGATACACTGCACACGCCTTGCGGGGGATAAGGCCAACTATTGGTGGCTTAGACACCATCCACAAGTGCTTTCAATGAAGTTTAAAACAGGAGTGAAGAGAGCAGAAATCTCCAATGCCATCGACCAGTATGTGACTGGAACCATCGGCGAGGATGAAGATTTGATAAAGTGGAAGGCACTGTTTGAGGAGGTCCCTGAGTTATTAACTGAGGCAGAGAAGAAGGAATGAGTTGACAAACTAAGTGAAGTTTGTATCAGCTCTGATGCCTTCTTTCCTTTTAGGGATAATGTGGACAGAGCTAAAAGGAGTGGTGTGGCGTACATTGCTGCCCCCTCCGGCTCTGCTGCTGACAAAGTCGTCATCGAGGCTTGCGATGAACTGGGAATAATCCTCGCTCACACCAACCTCCGGCTCTTCCACCACTGATCTCATCGCACGTTATTTTATGGTTTGCGTATGTGCAGGTGATTCATGTGTGGGATTTTGAAAATAACTTGTTTTTAAAAATAAAATATTAAATCTTAAAAAAAAAAATAACACATGCCCTGAAAATAAGCCCCAAGGTGTCTTCTTGAGGAAAAATAAATATAAGACACTGTCTTATTTTCGGGGAAACATGGTAAATACCCTGTGTACCCAAGGGCAGGGCAGGTGACTCAATCTGTCGTTGAGCAACCATGATGAACCATTCATGCCCAATAGACATGGATGATAAGCATCCAAAGTCAAATCCAATAACATTCTAAACGCAAAGTAAAACATTGAAACAAAGAGAGAGCTGCTTTCTGTGTGCCTGGAAATAATTTGACCTTTGTGTCTTCTGAGTAGCACACTTGCAACACAGAACCATGGTCTGAGCGTACATATCTTTGCAGAGCCACTGGGCCCTATTCCATTATCTAGTATCTACATCCTGACAGGATCTTGTACTTAGGTTGTTTGGCTAACATTCCTCAGTGGAGAGAACATGAGGTGGTGCAAGAGTCAGAGTGCAGGCCCTACGTTCAAAGGAACGACAGTCAGATAACCCTTTATGAACAAACCAAATGTCATTGTTAACGCTGGTAATATATTAATGATGTCCGTCTATGTTATCCTGTCGTCTTGCCCTGGTGTGTTTGTAGCTTTTATGTGAGATTAAGGTGTCCGCGCCAGGAACTACTAGTTCTCATGGGGTCAAAAAGGAGGACCTGACTGAAAAGAGGGGCAAGAGAAAAGGAACGAGGCCAGCAAAAGAAAAAATAAAGGTTGTCAAGGTTGACTGCTTGTACGCTTGGAATTCTTTGTTGGGTTTTCTATGCTTACAGACCAAGAAAGTGAACTGAAATAGTATGGGTGAATTGCTTGGTGCTGAGTATGATGATTCTCACGCTCTCTCTCTCGCTGTTAATCTCTCTGATTATTCATCTCTCAGTCTATTTCTTTTTTCCACAAGTGGAATCTATTCATTAATTCGTGTGTCTCGTTTTTTCTCTGCTCTTAAATGATTTGTCTGT